ACCCAGCACTGGAGCCTTCCCGTTCCCATTGCCCTCGCCCATCTTCCGAATGGCCTAAGAGCAGAACCATCACAAAATATAAGCAAACTTGTGCCCAAGCAAAGACTTCCAAGAAGAAACCAAGGAGTATGTGGCAAGGAACCCCTATTTCTCTGCACCCGTGTCTCTAATTGTTTTTTACAAAGTGGCTCTCCATGATTCTTATATGGTTTTAAATTGTATTAAAGCTTGCCTCAGGACGGCCCCGCCAATAAAGTAGCAGCACTCATGGTTCCTGTCGAAACTCTTAGTTGAAAAACTTTTCAAAATTCAAAAGACTGAGTCCAAAAAAATACGCCGGAGTTACGGGAAATTACGCCGGAGTTACGGGAAATTACGCCGGAGTTACGGGAAAAAACGCCGGAGTTACGACGTGCAATTTTTCTTAGCAACTCTCTGCAAAACATTGAGATTCTGAACAACACATGTTCCACAGCCCAAAACTTGTCCGGCAGGCTCTGCAAACCTGCGCAACTAGAACTAATTATATCCCAGCGCCCCGACATCCTGAAACAGTCGGAGTCCATCTTTGTCTATGTTCTTTCAGCTTAGGTACACCCACTTGGGTCTTTCAACACGTGCATCGCACTGTACCAATTTCATCCGATTTCACTTAGAAGATCACCTAAACGGATCTGATTGATCCAGGGTGAACCATGCTGAAGCCGGTGGAATGAGAGAGCAGCGGAACAGGCAAACGAGCACACTTTGCAAGCAAATCATTACCTTCAAAGAAATGCAAGCCACAAAGAATGCAAAGCCTTGAGAATCCACATTTCAAGTGACTTGGAAAAACTGCCGGACCAAATCCAGAAAAACGCCGGAGTTGGAAGTCCGGCGCCGGACCCTGTAAAAGTGCCGGACTGAAGATCTAGGTATAGCGGCTAAGTTACTGATTCCATAGCGCATTTCAACGCCACAGCAATCTTGTACACATCACAGGCGGAAAAGGTGTTGAAGCTAAAGTTGACCACATCCCGCGCGCGTTCCCCAGAATACACACCAGCAGAACACCTAGTCCAGTAGATGGTCAACCTGTGGTTCTCATATGTTGGGGCAAGACCACGGGCATGTGCCTTGAAGGCGTTTGCTTTCACATCCGTCCAGACGTTCAAGTCAAAAGATTCCGCAAAGGACTTCAACAGCTTTACCATTGATGGATCGTGAAGCTGGTTCTCCTGCATCCGGCTCAAGACCTGTGATCCGTCATTGGACCTCCCCTTTCCCCTGCCTTTCCCCTTGCCTTTCCCCGCAGCTTTTGGAGCTGCTGCTTTGGCCTTTGGGGCTCTGGCAGTGGCCTTGGCTTTGGCTTTCGCCGTTGATTTCATCCGGGTTTTCCCCTCTTGTGCCGGTGTCGGCTTCAGACCTGTTGCTCCGGCTTCCGAAGCCATGGCATCAGCGTACTTTTTTTCTCCCTTGTTTTTCAAGATCGATTTCAAGACCTTCTTTTTGGGAGCTGGCGGCTTTGCCTTTGAGCTGCTACTCGGCAAACTTTTTTTTGCGTTTGCCACCTGGAACCTCGTCATTGTCAGGCCAGCTATCTGCTGTTGCCTTTTTCTTCAACATTGCCCTTTTGCGACTCACACCCTTTTTGCCCTTTCCTTTCTTTCCTTTCCCTTTCTTGCCTTTCCCCTTCTTGCCTTTCGCAATCTTGTCTCTCCTAGCCCCTTTTCTCTCTGATTTCATTCGGAGCTGTTGATCCCTCATGACCACCTCCGGAACCCCTGCCAAAGATTCCGATGGCATCTCCGCTGGTTCTGCCTTCTTTGCTGATTCTGCCTGGGCTGGGGCGAGAAATGAATGAAGGAAGGGAAATTGGACTGCCATTTTACCGCCATGAGACCATTGTAAATTGTGATGCAAGAATCTTCCATAAAGCAGCAGTATATAGAATCCCGGATGTATAAGTCAACAATATATAGCCGACCAGTGCACACATGCAAAACAATTGATCACATTTCGATCGAGATGCAACGCTTGCAGGAGTGGCCATGGAAGGAAGTTCAGCTGGAGCTGTACGCTGGTACGACTCCCGGAGCTTTTGGGATGGGACTTCGGGGGATGATCCTGGTTGAAGAGACTCTGGAGCATCTACCCCCCATAATGTCCACGGGCTGGGTTTCCACAGTGTCACCAACTCCGGATAGCCTCCTTCCACCATCAGATTGGCCTGCCGGAGCTGAGCCACCATGACCGCTATATATAGTCCATGTGGCATGCAATATCATTGCCCCAATATGGCTTAGCCACTCTCTCCATAACACCTTTGAAGATGCGTGCACTCTATAGATCGGTAAAGCATGGTAAAACGGATTGCGCAACCCGACCCCAGCCTCGGCGCGGACTAGCGCTCGCAGCCTTGAACTTCTGCAGATTCAGGGTGACTTCAGCTTTGCGTCGACGGATCCTGACAAGAGCTGCACTGGCAATAGCCGAGCTTATATAGGGAAACTCTGTGAGCCACTTTTTACCGGGGAGGGGGGGTGGAGGGGGGTGACTTTCAGGAGGTGTGCGCGACTAGACTCCATGAAGAGTATAAATTAAGATTCTAATTTCAGAAGGTTTGTCAAAGAAATTATACGGTCGGTGCCGGTGCACAGAAGAAATGATTTCGTTCGATTTCTATATATGTTCCGAGGTCAGTTCACGCATGCTGCAAATATCGGATTGTAAGATGTGAACTAAGTTCATGACTCTTCCAATTTCTTTTTGGCTTCTTCGAGCTGACCTGGCACATGGACTGGTGATTACTTGGATGCATGGGAACAAACTTGGGTTTTTTTTAATTCATTTCGTGATTGATTGAAACCACATGAACTCCCTATCCAACACATATCAGAATGAAACCTTCATCAGCTGGGCCCAAGGCTGAAAGCCTTTGCTGGGGCAGCAGCATGATCGACAGGACAGCTGGTGCTGGGATTGGGACCTGGGCCGGCTGCTGCGGGTGCATCCGGAATCTCAGACGGTGTTGCTTGAATAGAGGCAGCTTGTGGGGGGGTCAATATCACGGCCAACGATCTCAGCGTCTTCATCAGAACTGCTGTCATCTTCGCCCCCTTCTTCAGACTCATCGTTGTCAAACGCATCATCTTCTTCATTTGCGAGATCCTACAATGACTGGGTAAAAACTGTAATGCATGCATGCACGAACCTCACGATCGAGAGTATAGACTTCATGCATGACGGTTGAAATGAAATAATGAGTTGATAGGATCCATGGATCGATCAGCACGCCTCACGGGAGCTCTGTTTCTCCTCTTGTGCCCGGTTGATGGAATTGCATTCCTCCTGATGGCAGAGTTTTTGTGTTAAGTTATTGGAAGGACCGAGGATGGTGAAAGTGGGTTTATCTATATTCGAGGATGCATGCATCGATTTGATGTCAAACTCTGCAGGATCTATAAAAGGAGTCCTCAAGCGTAGGGTCCATGATGAGACAAAGCTTTTGGAAAGGCCTCACCTGAGATGTCAATCCAAGAAAATGCACGTCATCGGCAGATCAACCTGATCATATATACACGACAAGTTTAAGAGATCGATATATGAGATTTCAGCTGATGAAGATGAGGCGCTGTCGAAACCAAATGCTTGTTGGCTTTGTTCTTGATCATCACCAGGAATTTCCTAATAAACCAAGAGTCGGTCACGATGTTATCCTCCGAAGGGGTCCTGCTGGAATTTTTGTAGACCAAAGTGAGCTGCTCCCTCAAAGCTCGAACTTGGGGCTGTGGCTGCTTGGGTAGGCCACAGCTACGTAGGAGTATCGCTTTCAAGATAGCGTTGATGTGGGGAACGGCTGCATCCTTCACACATACCTTGATAGTCTCGTGGAACAGGGGCTGATCAGGATTCTCCCTCAAATACTGCCGCACTGGGCCGGCATCGTCCCACTCTGCAGCCAGGCCCCGAACATTCACCTTGGGCTTTTTGGCAGCCTTTTCCACCACCATGGCTCAACAGAGGCTCAACACCAATCTGGGCTCAAAAGGAAATGGCTGTGGGAGGCGGATATGCAGTGATATGCCACCTTGCACTGTTGCCCCCTCCCTGCATGCGGCCATGTGCAGGACCGCGCCTGAATGTCATCGTCGTGAAAAGGGCCATTGCTTCCACCGGTGGCGGATGGATAGTACGAGAAAAACAAATGAGGGGAATTGAGGGGATAGTTAGATCGGTGCGGGATGGGTAGAATTATAGTTTATAGAATGGCATCCATCGTGCAGCCCAATCAATATTGCGGAGCTTCGTGCTCCAACAGTTATAGTTTAATCAAAAGAAGAAGGATATGTTGATTTTCATAATTGAGCTAAACCTGCATGCTCTCTATTGTGCTGATCTATATAGCCTATCAATCCACCAAATATCACATATCAAATGCATAAAAACATGAAAAGGCCCCGTGGCCACTGCATCCCTTGATCCAAGCACCATTCGAGAAGCCACCTGAGCGAGAAGCGGACGCCACGTATCACGATATATTATAACCTGGTGATACACCTGGTTTGTGTCACTTTGAAGTGGTATGTGAATTCTAATGGTCTTCTGTGGATACATGGAATAATACATGCCAGGATGCATGAGAAAATACGGGTTCTTGACATCGAGAGGAAATAACGTATATTTTTGTAGGTTTCTTGGTGAAAGCCAGGTTATTGAATGCCGACCTACATTTTTGTAGGTTTCTGATGGTCATGGAATGGCAGATTGCAGAAGGACCTCTCAGTCTCTCAGTGCTATCTCTTTGAGTGTTTTTTTCTCAGAGCATTTCCCAGTTTCAAGGATCAAAGAGAAGATGTCACCGGCATGACAAGAAGCTCTACGAAAGCACCCTGTGATCGTCTATATCCCTTATTAGGGCTTTTGACCTACCTCCCTCTTCAGTTTCAGGTGGTAACAGGGGGTGAGTTTGCGTGCGTCAGCGCGTACCCGGGGAGTCCCCCAAACACCACCGAACCCTCATGGACGTCAGCCGGTCAGCTCGACCCCTGCGCGCGGCCCTCGCTCCGGTCGTCCAGGTGCCACCCATCCAGGAGTCGCCCATGGAGAGGCAGCGGTGACGCGGACCGTCCGCGACTGTGACTGGTGGCGCGGTGGTGAACCGGTCGTTTTGCGGCCGTTTCTGACGGTGGGCAGCTGGTGGGTGCTGCAGATGGGGGATGCTGGTGGGTGGTGGAAGAGAAGTCGTGTGGGTGTGTAGCTCAATCTTAGGGAGACCTCCGATTCTGGAAGGTGTGGAACCATTGACCCAGGCGAGAGAGGGCGAGAGGCCAGGGGGTGCCCCGAACTTCAAAAGACACAGCCATGATTCGTATGGAAGATTGACCTGCACTGACCCTGAACACATCTTACCAACCCAATGCTTGGAACAGCTGAATCTTCCAGTTCCATGCCTTGTCGGGGAGTGGTTCGTTGTAGCGCACAGAGGAGAATGTTCACCTGTAGGAGGGGTGAAGGATGTGTTTTTTGTGCTTAAAAGGAAGTTCCAGAAGGACCAAGTGACTTAAAGTTATAGTTACATTCATTCAAAACCCCAATGCAAGGGACTTCTTCAAAGGGACTGAACGTAGCATTTTTTCCCTCGAACATGTGCGGTCTCCGGCGATCTCCTGCTCCGCATCGGTCAAAACTGACGATCGTGATGCAATGCGACCATCGGGACGAGGGAATATACGCACGCTCTTTTCCACTGAAACCATGAACTTGGACGGAGACCAGAGACCATGGCGTGATAGAAAGACCAGCCCGTTACTGAAACCCTATATTTTTGAAAGACATATTAATAGATTGTTGGAGATGGATCAAAGTGGAAAACCAACTAAAAAAAGCATGAAGTCAGAAGCTCCAACTTGGTATCCAAGTTTATCCAAGTTTATTGATATCTTTGAGGCTCATCCATGTTCCTCAAAAAAAAAAAGGGTAGTTACACTTGGCCTTTTGCAGTTTCAACCAACTCAACGGTCTGACGGGACCCTAGTAACAAGAGTCCAGCCAATGGTTCCCAAAATCAGCAAACATCCATAGTTGATATAGAGATTACAGTAGATGGCACAGCTCCCTAAGTTTGGTGGTCTATATGGACACCCCATCTGTCTAAGACATCTAGGGCTGCCAGTGCCATCCACTGAAATCACTGAAAGACCTTGAGCTATGCAATCCTAGCACTGACTAAACCAGACCCTTTACGGTGGAACATGAAACCAGCCCCGTTTGGAATGGAACTCTCATCGTTTGGACTCACCAGCCTGCAGTTACAAAAAAGCCCTATGCTGTCAGCTTTTTTCTTCAAGTCACACCAACCTGGTACACTTCGAGGATCTTCGAGCTTGCTATCAATGTCAGTTTGGGCCATAGTGTACACCTGAAGGTCTCGCTGCGCGTTGTAGTGGTGGCTTCCCCTCAAGAACTGGGCTTCCTCTTTTGTTCAGGGGCATTGTGACATGTTGAACCTTGCAACACATCGAACCTTTATGAACCGCACCCCATAAAGACGAGACTTCCCGCAGTGCTGGGCTCAGCCCGCGCACCGCGCGCCCGCCCACCGCCCCGCAGACTGCGCCTTGCAGTGAGCTTTGCCAAGCGCTGTGGGGTGGAGGATCAGCTGGTGCTGAAAGCCGAAGCCTTCATCAAGCTGGAGGAGATGCATCACGACCAAGCCCAGCAACCCGACTCTAGTGCCGTTTTGGTTTGTACGCGGCTTCAGAGGTGCAGCATTGCACTTTTGTACAGGCTTCTCATTTTAGATGTTTTTTTGGATGGGGATCTAGTAAACATGCAGATACACCACCAAACATAAAGACACCTTTCTCCGACGCCGCGCCGGCGACGACCAGTCTCTTCATCCCGCGGTGATGGAACGTCCCCGTGGTTCAAGGCAACGGCGACCAAACATGACCGAAGGGTGCCCGGACCCCTCATACTACTCGTGGCTGCCTGGGATCTGCATTTTGATACATATTTCTTAGATGATATAGGAATTTACTTACTTTGTTGCTAAATAATGCTATAGTCTTTGGACTTTTAGGGTACTCACGAATGAACGCTACACCAATCCGAGGGTGAGAGGTTTGGAGGGGCTTGGACTCTGGTTCATCGTTTCATAGTTGGACTCAGCTAGAGTTGGCAGCTCCAACTTCTGGGGGAGATTCCAACCCCAAACGATCCATGGTGGCGCAAATCTTGCCGACATATCTATCTACATGACTGTTTGTTTTGTTTTTTTGAATGTAGGTCATAATTTGCATACATGAATCCTCTCAAAACTCAGTGAAGACGCCAAAACACGCACTCGTCTTTATCGACCCGTTCCTTTTCTTTCTTCCACGTCGGGGCGCCAGGAGTCACGGAAGCAGGCCATCCAGCTGACCGTGAGCAAGGTCTGGGTTGGGTCATGGAGTCATTGGAAGGCCCTGAGCATCCATGGATGGAAGAGTTACACTCTGGAAGAGACTCACATGGAACCTGAAAACCACTGGTTTGTAGAGGAAAGTAGTCTTCCAAAGGTCCATGCCATCAGGTTCCATGTTAACCTTCCTTTGATTGCTTGCATTTACTCCATATGGCCCTAATGTAAGTGCCTGATGAGAGCCGGTTTGGGTATGTCGTTGCTGAAAAGATGGTCAGGCCGTGGAAGTTTGTTGGAAAGAGGTACTCCCAGCACATCAGATTGAAGAGACCGGTTTGACCTTCCCCCCTTGCAGTTTTCAGGAAGCAGGTTGTTGATGCCGTTCTTTGCTGACAGGTCTTATAAGGATAGCTAAGGATAGGCTAGAATGGTCGGGTTGCTTTTGATGTTTCAATCTGCGCCAGACGCACTCAATTGGAGCATCCAAATCAACATCATGATGCAAGACATGCTAATGCATTCATCGACATGTCTTGCATCATCACCATATTTGTTGATGTTTATAAGTCCAAAACATGAATCATATTTATTGTAGAGCCAAGACCGCCACCCAGGGCGTGTGGGCGGATCCTCACTGTGGTTTGAACCGCGACAACTACCATCCTGCAGACGAACATGGACCCTGAAAAATACTCTGTGGAATGAAGTCCATGTTCCTTTAGAACCCAGACTTATTTCATCGATACAGATCACGGGTGAAGCTGAGAATCTGGACGTTGTAGCTGCCTAACTCACTCACAGCTGGCATGATTTCAGCTCACTGGGTTTGTATTGAACGAGGGAGACCTCCCAATGGGTACATGTAAGTGTCTTGATCTTCCCAGTGGTCCTTATACATAATTACTTATATTCCAATACAGGCATATTACCGGCCAGACTCCTTGACTCAACTCCCTCTCGGCATCGAATCATCCATCCATCGCCGCTATGCCACCGCCCTCGGTGGTTTTTCACCCACCGAACCTTTCGCCGCTGCTGCGCCGGTTTCATCCATCGGCTCCGGTTAGGTCTCCAGCGCCTTTGAGCGGGCGAAGATTTGCCAGAATTTGGAGGCGATGAAAGAGATCAAGGCACCGGGTGGCCAGACCGGTGGTGTAAAACGAACGAAAAGACAAGCGTCCTTGTTGCAAAGACTCAAAGACTGGTGGTGTTGGGTCAAGGCCCTAACATGCAAAGCCGAAGTCGTGTGGGTTCAACGTAGGTGTTGATCTTACAAGTCGCCGGTTTGAATGAAGCACAAGCAGGCTGTTGATGAAAAGAGTACAAACAGGTGTTGATGAAAAAATATGAAACACTTACAGAGTTCAAACATAAATGCTTTTTGAAAGCAACATAATTACCGCTGTTTTTCATCTGGCCCATCCAAAATAGATCGTCCAACCGCTGTTCAGGAGCAGCTTTGTGGCTTGCCTGGGAACTACCCCGAGGCGCGTGTCACGTGTCACCGCACCGTCGTGAAAGGCGTATTCGAATACACCTCCGGGGTGTCCATGGACGAATTTGGGATGTGGTTCTTCCCAGACTCTCCAAACAGCCCGACAGGTCTCTCAAAACCTAGGGATTGGTTCGACCCCAGACCCCTCCATATGAGGGCCAGCGTCTGGCTTGAATGAAAGAATCTCAAATCCTATCCCCTATGGATCCTCTTACCGAACCTCAGCTTCGGTACGACTGGGCTCGACCATGAAGCCTACATAAATCATCTCCCCGCTCACCGTACCTCAGGTTCGGTATGTGGATCCATAGGGTATAGCAGATTGCAACCCAAAAAAATCCTTCTTAGTAGCTTCTTAGGCTGTAGGCATCTTGTTTGGCTATACAGGCATTTTGTTGGGCGTTTTAGGTCTAGTACACCCTGGGAGTCCAAGAATAGTGAAGCGAGTCTTGGACTTCCAGGCTTATACACATACAATACAATCATGTTGGTTATATACTATATACAATACACACACACTGTATATATATACCTATAGAGCCTGACTGACCTTTGTTTTGATAGGAAAAGACCATATGTTGGATAGTTGATCCTCCAAAACAGGGGTCACTCAGGCTCCAGGTATATATATATATATTTGTATTGTATAATTATACAGTAAAAACACATAACAATACTTAAGTACAAAGGGATCTCCACCTATTCCACCAAGAACATCCAAGAACCAACACCGCTGAAGCCGCCCTTAACCCGCAAAAGGACCTTGAGGCCTTTTTGGATCGGTCTGACCGGCGGATTTTCCACGGAGCGATGGACACGGTTGAACCGCCGTTGAAACCAACGCCATGGGGAAGTGCGCTAGCACGCGTGCGTTCAGGTGTGGAACCGGGTTCATTCCTTGGGGACGCGCTCTCCAGACGCGGTTCTATTGTCCCGTGTAATAGGAAAGGTCAAAGGCCTGGAACATGTCTTAAGCCTGGAACCAGGCCCCATCATCCACTGGGCCCAGGTAATCGGATCATATCGAATATACCCAAGAGCCTACCTGGCATGCGCCTACCTGGCAGAGGTGCCACAATGTACAAGATCCTCCACCAATAGCTGGCCAGTCTGGAGGAATTTCCAGGGAGCAGGCTCTCTTTTCTAGAACTCGAAAGCCACAAGTTCTCCTTCGAAATGGTTTTGGGGTGGCCAGGATACCGAAGTTGCAGAATGGGCGCCAGAGAAAATCCGTTGACCCCGAACAAGCGACATTTGTTATGCTTTTTCTGTGTTAGCAGGTGTAACAACGGAATGTCCCTGATTGCTTCAAGGGACTGGAAGAGCCACCTACATGCATGGGTCATCAGGGTCCATGCAACAGGTTTCTTTAGATGGAGCCGAAGGCTGGATGAGGATGGACACCGAAGCTCGGAACCCACCTGAACCCCCCTGCAAAGCCATCAATCGGGACCCCTACAATTCCCAGCTGGGTTGAGTTGAGTTCGCATCAAAACAGAGCGGCTAGGCTAGTTGATATTGGAGCAGCCAAACGCCGATCCTTACTCTGACTTAGCCAAAACCAAGACTTGGAATCTCAATCTTGCTCAACTTCGATCTTTTGTAGAAGACGTCTTTCAAGCAGTCAGCCATTCGCTGGTAAAAACCATCTGCACACAGAGCTCCACTTCCAAAGACCTTCCCTTTCAGAGCCGTTTGTCTAGCCGTGGACGGCAGCGACTGTGGCGGGTAGGTGGAGCGACTGCGGCGGCGCGTGCACAATGCCATTGAGGAGAGCGAGCCACGTCGTGAGAGATCACATGCTTCATGAACCAAATCCTTTCTTCATGTTTTTCTTTGTTTCTAATAGTGATGGCCTCCACCCTAATAGTGATGGCCTCCACCCTAGTAGTGATGGCCTCCACCCTAATAGTGATGGCCTCCACCCTAGTAGCGATGGCCTCCACCCTAATAGTGATGGCCTCCACCCTAGTAGCGATGGCCTCCACCCTAGTAGTGATGGCCTCCACCCTAGTAGCAATGGCCTCCACCCTAGTAGCGATGGCCTCCACCCTACATGAACCAAATCACATCCAAGAACTATGAAGACACATGATTGGCTAACTTTGTTGCACATGTGCTACTATATTTGTATGTCTGTTTTTTCCTAAAGGGCCGTATACCCATTTTCCTCCCCTCCCTCCCTCCCCTGCCTGCCCTTCCGGAAGGGCTTGAGCAGAATGCTCGAGCCGTCGGCTTGAGGACTTGAAGGGCCATTTGAGGGTCTTCTGCCGGGTCCGGCCCTTGAGCCAGAAGGACCCGGAGGGTTGGCCCGTCGTGGTGTTGTTCTGCTGGCGGAGGGGGGGCGGTGCGGAGGGTTGTGGGGCGGGTGTATCTGGAGGACCTTGGATGTAGAGGTCCGAAGAACATATATAGGTTGGTGTCTAGGTTGGATGTGGAGGTTGGTGTCTAGGGATCCAGTCGTACCTCCTCAGGTTCGGTACGACTGGACCCGAACATGGCACCCACCCCAGTCCCACCGAACCTCAGAGGGTACGACTGGATCCATAGGGTATGAGATGGGACACCGAAGTGGTGGACCCTTTTATGGTCACCTTCCAGGAGGTTGTTGTTGTTTTTTTTAGCTGGGGCCAAAACCAGGTGTGTGTGTGTGTGTTAAGAGAAGAGGCATCAAGTGAATGAACTGCACCCTTGGAGGTTTTGAAAGGTCTCTCGGTGTCTTTCTGTTTACCCTAGGTCCGAAGACTATGCACCACCAAAGTAAAATTACATGTCCTTGGTTCTCGGGTCACCTTCGCCTAAGGAGCCTTATAAGGAGCCATTCTTTTACGTAGTCCACCTGACTTCCAGGGTATACGTCAATGGACGGGGGTGGTGTGGTGGTGTGGTGGTGATCCCACCACAGGTCCTTGGTGGTTGATGAGTAGTGCCAGACATACCCTGCTGGGCCGGTTCGCAGCACGTTCTGCCGCAGGAGCAGGAGATGGATGAGGAGGTGGCCGTCCGAATGGCCTGGGACGCCCAGAGGATGACGATGACGGGTTCGACGGACGACGGCGTCAATCCATCGCCGAAGTCAGGCGGCAGAAGAATTGGTTCATGGATGTTCATATATAGCTGTGCATGTAGCAAAACAAACATGCTGAACTCATGCTGTGCAAACATGCTGTATCATGATGAACACACCACCCAACTTGGGGGCTTCCGCCACCCACCGGATCCGATCGGTCCGATGTCGGTCGCTTCAGGTGGATGACAGGCGCATTGAGGTGACGGGGGCGAGGGTGGACGAGGGCGGCGGACGAGGTTCCTTTGGCAGGAAGCCATGTCCGTGCGCACGATATTCATCAAATACAGTATATGGTAGTGATAGTGACAGTGATTCATCATACTGGAATCCAATGGAATCCGGAGTCTTCTACCCTCATCATTCTAGTTAAGGAACGGTCAGCCTCTCCGACGCCAGCCCGCCGGCCCCGTAACCGTACGGCGCGGTACGCAGCGAGCGGTGACCCGGTCAGACAGAGCTCCTGGGACACTCCTTGTCAGCTGCCCTTAGAAGTACCCGTGGCCACTTGGCCCAGGGTAACCATGCATGTAATTATTAACTAATACTGGAATATTCTGGAGTACAAATGAATCACATCAAATTACAAAAACACTTTTGGAGGCAAGTCCTTACAATATCCTTCGTGACCATATACTATCAATCCTCCACCCCTGAGCACTTGGCCTTGCACCCAACCCCGCACTGCACGAACGTTCGTGCCACCCACCAACACCACCATCTCCCGCGTCCCGCAGCTCCCGCGCAATGGGGTCTTCACCTTCGACGGCGTCTTTGCGGGCGGCCGACAAGAGCAGATGTTCGAGGCGACGGTGCCGTCCACGCGCGGGGCACTGACTGGGGGAAGGCCTTCTTCCCGCACGTGCGGGGCCGGAGGAGGGCTGTGAGATGCACCCGTGGTTGTTTATTTTCATAGGGTTAGGGTTGGGACGCGAATGCGATGAGGAAGCGTCACAAGCAAGCAAGTGGAAGTGGGTGTGTGTGTGTGTGGCTGAGAAGTGTTGTCGGAATTCGGATTGTCCTTGTGTTTGGGGCTGGAGCAGGAGAGGAAGGAACTATAGTCTAGCTTAGTTCAGTCAGCAGTTTTGCAGAGTTGAGGTGATAGGACAGAGATGTTCAGAATTCCTTCGGGGTGTCACTTCCCATGAATTTTTCTTCACTGCCGAGAGATGCTCCAGGTGCAGGTCACCTGTTTGGGACGCATGGGTGTCCCACCCCAGTGGGTTCAGCACATGCACGTGGGTTCAGTTCGTTCGGTTGTGCCTGGATCGGTTCGCTGGCCAAACCGCTGCCGGCCACTCCTCAGCCCGCCCCGTCGAACATCTTCTGCTCACGGAATGAGTTCGAAGAGTTCGTTCAACGGCGGGATTCCCTATGCCAGACACTCCGTCTATGGTCTGAGACTGGTATACCGATCAGTTCGGGTGGAAGGGGTGGAAGTCGGGGGTCAGTTTTTTCGGCGGCAGTGCGACTGACTGTCCGACTGACTGTCCGACTGACTGTCCGTGTTTGGGTATGGTTTTGAGATGTTTTTTTGTGGGGACCGAGGGTTGTTTGGGGTGTTGAATGGTCCAGGGAGCCAGGTCCAATACGGAGTCTTTGAGCTCGGCCCCCACGTGGTGATGATGTTTCATCAGCTCACCATATCCGTTGAGCTGACCTCCCTGATCTAGCCCGCGCGTTTACGTGGTTTGGGTTAACGCTTTCGGTTAGTTGATGCAAAAGTACACATCCCTACAAGTCAAAGACCTCATTTTACTGGAGATGGTCAAGGAGGTAAAAGACAAGCTTTTGCTGGGAGACATCTAACTGCATGGATTGAATGGTCAGGAACCTGAATGAGTCGAACCCCCCTGCTGACAGCGCTGCAGACGTGCCGTGCTCACAGCCACAGCGGTATTCGCGGCAGGAGTGCAAAGATCTGGTTCAGAGCGCAGTAGATGGTCATAACGTCACCATCTTCGCGCACGGGTGCTGAGTAAGGGCCCGGGCTTGTCGTGCTGGGTATAACTCCTTGCACCGGCCGAAAGAGCTCAACCCAGAGCTCGACCCCTGTATTTGCTTGAACAGGAAGAGGTCATTCATATTGTTGGATGGTTGGTGGTGCAAAAGAAAAATGAGGATTTCGTCATCCAACTAGACTAGCAAGAGACCTCCAAGGAATGGGCCTTCCTGTCCTGATCTCAGAAAAACACACACAAGTTTCAAGCCGGCGGCTCCTTCCAGCGCCAGTTTCCCATTTGGGCCAGGCACGAGATGGTTCTCTCTGTTGAACGTCCACGAATCGACCCGGTCACAGGTCAGGAGTGATTTGCGGAGCTCTAGAACTCGTTGGCGCTCAGTTCTATGAAGGTTTTTCAATGGGTACTCATCACCCCTTCTGGTCGGTGTGGAAAGAAGAAAGATTGTATGCCACAGCCGACACCGCGTGAGACACCTTTTCTCCGCTCCATTTTTGGAGCAGAGAAGACGGTGGCCACATGAACTCTAGCAAGGAAGACAGAACAGCAGCCACTCAAAAAACAGCAAGGAGGGTCCAACCGCCCACGCTCTTCCATGGTTTGCCAGGAGCGTTGATCCTGCCATGCACACGGCACCACGCTGCCCAGGTATGGACAGACAGGTGCAGGGAAAACCTACACACTCTATGGAACTCCTGAACAGGAGTGCCGCACCAAACAGCTGGGACTGGTGGGAAGAATCCTGATTGTTCAGTGCCAAAGGAGATGATAAGGAATCAAACATGAATCCACAATCTACACAAATGTGGCTGATGTTGTGACATGTTGTGACCATTGCCTTTGTTCTGTTTACCTCCTAAAGCTTTGTTGGAAGTCGTGAAACAGTTTGAATCTATTATAATCTGTTGACTTCTAGGCCATGTAGATTTGTTGTGAATATATGTGTACGACATTTGCAGAGCAGCTGTTGGGGTCGACAATCCGATCACACCACCTGTGAGTTCATGCCGTAATCCGATGCTGTCAGAGACAGGGATCATTGCAGCTCAAGTTTTCCTTGAGGGATGTGTTGCTTGACCTTATGCATACTACCCTTACAATGACAGATCTGTTTCAATCATTTGTGGACCCCCCGGTATTTTTGCTGTTGTTGTTTGTTTATATAGTTCTGTTAAACAACATTTTTTCATGAACAAAGGGCATGGACCAGTGACCCACCATTGTTTCCCCGACCAGTCCACCATGCTTTGCTTCCTAACCTGTCCACCAGGTAAAGGGAAACGGTCAATAAAAACCGGTGCTTCTTTTGTTGCTATGACCAGTGAAACTGTTTGTGCTTTGACCCAGCACCAAGTCTCTTGACCAACTCACGAATTACGAATTCCAGTGTTTTTCGCTCAGCATCGGCAGGAGGGCATTGCTGGACGAGCCATCTCCGAGCTGTTTCAGGACGAGCTGTTTCGTCGGGACTGGGACGTCAGGCCTGAAGAGGTGTCCTGACCTGCCCAAAAGCTGGCCTGGTGGAGGACATATTCTAGCACCAACATGGCCTAAGCGGTTCCAGTTCGACTCAAACCGTGCTTCCTTATATCGTGGTAAGTGGGATCGACTGGCATTGGGAAAAGCACTTCATCATGGAAAGAGAGAATGAAGCGAGTCTGAAGGAGGTGTCAGCCATCTCCCACGACGTCCTTAAAAAAATTAAAGACTATATATATATATATACCAGGACCCTCCAACAGGCTGTTTAGAGACCCTAACAGGTGGTTTCTGGGCACCTGTTGTCACCAGGAAGCACCTGTGAAGTCGGGTGCTGGTATATATATTACAGTAACAAGTCCCCAAAATGTAAGAACTTCTCTCACCTTCCCCTCCACTTCAAAACACTCGGTTTTGTGTTTTTTTCAGGCAACAGTGGACTTTCCCGAACCTGGATCACCCCCCCCAAAAAAATCACCAACCCTGAAATGATGCCCCCTCTTCATCCCTCTTCCACTGCCCTTTCATGGTGTTTTGGGGCCACACGACCGCGCCGCCGAGCGCCCCGCCAGATTCTGGGGCGACAGCCCTTGTCACGTCGCTTCGTCGTGACGGCCTCCATGGCCCCTTGCCTCGGGTGACGGGTGACGGATGTGAGAGTGAGTGGATCCCAGGCAGTTCCCACGAGTACCAACGGCTGGGAACCAGGGGCTGGGATCCACTGGGTCTCACTGGATCCACTGGCCCGAATGGCCCGAACTCGTTCGCTGGAACGTAGACGGTCGAACGGTCGAACGGTGGAAGCACCCTTTTGACCATGCGAACGAACGAACTCGTGGTTTGCCTGGATGGTTTGGGAAAGAGTGGATGAGGATGAGGCCAACCAGGTAATCAATGGTACATCCTTCTGACATTTTTGAGCACGTGAGCAACTGCCGTGCCTGATGGTTGAATGGCCTTGACTGTACTTGGCATGCATTTGGAGGTGTTTGATAGATGAATGTTGATATTTAGGAGAAGAGTTTGTTGGTAGTGACCCTTTTAGATCAGGATTCCACTGATTGTTTACAGATCGTTTACTACATGCCGTTCATGTTTGCCCATGTACGACATAATTCACTAACTATCAAGAACTTTATTATTGCCATTATTGCTGTGTTGCCCGTATGTCTTTTGGATGACTACAGTACATCCAGCAATGCCAGAGTTGAACACTTCTGGATTTGACTATTAATGCTGCAGCTAACTAGGCAACAGCAATTCCAAAGTAAATAGCTCCATTAGCAAAGTTTGTTCAAAGGTTTATTTACTGCAGCAGTACTATCAACTGCTTCTGGATGAACTAATAGCTGCATTCTGTTCCCCTTTATCCATGTTACTGCCTGAGCTGTGTGGTCAGTTGGAGGTTGAGGTTATGCAGTTATGCATTGCATATCATTTCGTTGTATAAAATGATTTCATCTCCAGAAGGTGATAACTTTCTGGAATCACATCCCAACTGTCGACAAACAACAAACCATTGTGGAATTCCTTTGGAAATACTTCCTCAGATCCCAACCCTTTTGGAATTTAATCCGCAACGAAGCATTCGTTTGAAGCTTCTTTTGAAGCTGCGACTCGTTCCGTTTAAATGTACGTGAACACGGGATTTGAAAGGCTAAGAACTTGAAGGATTTCCTTTTGGAATCCAAAGTGGCTGCTTAAGGTTGTTTCTATTAATTCGACGAGCCACCCATTTGATGCAAAGCTTTCTTTGCAAAGTTGAAAGCTTTCGCTTGAAGTTGAATGTTTGTTGGAGCCACGGGCCTAGACAGTAGTTGTTCAATTTTTCTGCGAGATGACTGGGGTTTGCAGATCTTGAACAAGACGGTGATTTCCGCATGCATTTTTGACATGGGCTCAGGTGTGCCCAGGAGACAATCTCTTTATGTAGGTAAACCAGTGCTGTCACAAGCTTGCATTTGGTGCCCTAAAATGCGTCAATCTTGGCTCCATACCACATGCACAGCTGCTGTTATGGCCCGTTGCCAAGGGAACCAATGAGTATCCCCTCTGCGGGAGGGCGAATAGTCGCAGTGTACAGTATTGAGTTTGTATAATTTGGGTCTATATCCTATTACATGTATATAACAGTCAGTAAACAATTATCGCTATTTTTGGACAGGGCCTCCAATGTATCAGGTAATAGGATAGACCCAATGTATCAGCACATACTCTAAAACACCCCCCCCACGAGTCAGCTCGGGACCTGACAGCTCAGCTCCACAACGACCATGAAGATCAGACGCAGAAAAGCGGGGACTGGACCCGCAGCGGGACGGGAACATGAAGCATCCAGGCTGCAGTATTTCTATGCAATGGCTGTCCTTCCAGGAGTAAGACTCCATAGTCCGAATCTGCTGCTGGGCGAGCGCTGCTGGGATCGATCCGTCGGTGGGATGACATGTTGCCGCACAAATACTACGGGGCCCCACATGTGTGTCTACCTGGAGTTCGATGAGGAGATGACGCTTGAGCATGCCCTGACCAGCTTACTGCCCAACACCTGGTGTGCTGACCTCATCGAGCAGAAGAACCTGAGGAAGCCTGAGTACAAACAGACTTGTACTCGTGAGGCTCGCACTTGTACTTGACGTGTCGTGTGGATCATGATCCTTTGCTATGTGTTTTCTCTACAGCTGCTTCCCCAGAAGATAGTACTCCTTCGCTGGTGCCTTTTTTGTTTTCCTGTTTTCCCCAAAACCGTGACAGAATGATCAAAAGGGGGCACCACCAATGAATGAACCGCATGTTCCTTTTGCTTGGAAGTTTGCTTCGGGTGTGTGGTTGGTTTTCTTTGTTGATGATAACTCAGACCAACTGCTGTTCCATCATGTTTGCTTTCAGCAGCAGGAAACCACACAAAACAGTTAAGGCACACACACACAAAGCAATTAGGAAGGGAAAAGGGACATACAAACACACACCCAGTGTGATTGTTACATATTGTAACAACATGCTCCCCCACAAGTGCATTCTCAACATGTTGCAAAAACATGCAAAGCTGCCCAAACCAGGAAAAATCAGGGGGGTGATTACCCAGTATATGACACTTGAGGCCTGAAAAAGTCCGCCCTCAAGAAAGTGCAAAAATGATCTAATGTCCACCCAGCTATGCACCCTGGAAACCTGACAGAATATGTGAAGTACCTTCTACATCCTTCTACCAAGAACCAGGTGGGAAGTTCGGTCCGACCTCTATTTCCCAAAGAAAACGGCGTCCGCGGTTCCTCCACACTGACTGGGGTGGACCGCGCTCCGCCTGCGCGGACCCGCCGAGTTCGAGCTCTACCGGAACCGACTGGTGGACCTCCTGGCCGTTGCTCGAGGGCCTCGGCGTGGAAAGAGCTCGGGACACCCTGGGACCGTGATTGGTGAGGCGGGGCAGAGTGGAGACTTCAGAAACTGCTGAGGAAATCGATGGAAGTGGACAAACCACTTTACATATATAAATCGATTTTTATGTTTTTTTTCCTTTATACTGGAGGTCTGATGAAGAGTTTTTGAATCAGATGAATGAGTACCTGCCGCGTTCCAGGACATCGGTTTGCGAGCGTGAAGACTTTGGTGAAGTCTGTCAAACCAACCAAGCCAAGAACGTGTTCACAGACTGGCACAGAACCACCAACAGAGATGACGTGGAGTTTAGACTTTAGACCGGTTCATGATCAATGCATGGTGAACCTTGAAGTGGCAACACGGTCGAAACAATTCTTACCCAAACCACAGCCTTTTGCAAACTCTCAAGCGAAAAGGTGTCCCTCGTGGATTTTATTATATAAGTTTCAGTACTTGGACCCTGCTATTTTTTGACTTTGCACCACACGGTTTCGGTATGTCAGCGGTATCTTATGATATCTCATATCATTTTTTCCCGCACAAACACCTGGGTGTCCACTGCTCCTAACCAGTCAGTGAAAAACCTTCAACTGTCTTCTGGGATTTAGGGACGCCCCGCAGAAATCCAACGGGTGGGACGGGTGGGTCTGGGACCCTTTTCGAGTTGAAACCAAGCGGACAGGTGGACACCAATGATTCACTCAGCTGTTGCACACTTCCTTTTTTTTTTTGGCGGGGTCGTTGAATATCGGATTCATGTATACAGTTCGATTATATAAAAATTATAGGATCCATTGATTCAATATTGATGTATATGTGTAATTAGAAAACATGAAATAGGGAGACCCTTCTCCTCGACCGCAGCGACTTTGCCTTCTGCCGACCCAGGTCCCCCTTGCAGCCCCAAGCTGAACCTTCGGCCGGGGGAGTCTGGAGCACAGGCGCAGCAGAGAAACGACGAGCGGGATGAGTGCCAAGGTCTCCATGTGTCCCAAAGCTGGTCTCCAAACTCCTCCGAGTGAATCCCAGTCCGAAGGCTGAGAGAGGAGCCGAATAGCCTGCCACAAACAGATCAAATAGGAGTTCACGAGTTGACTTCATCCAATCATGCACATCATATTCAGTAGCCTCATAGAAAGTAAGTGGATGAGAAGCCCGATTCACAATATCCTGCAACCACCATCGATGATGTAGGAATTTGCCATGGAAATGCCAATAGAATCTTCAAAGAAGCCGCTGTGGATGTAGCAGCCCAGTGATTCCAACCTTGCCCTGGCGAGTTGTCATGATATCTCACACGTGTTGAGGCTAAAGGCTGTTTGAGAGGCGATTGCAATCCCCCAAGAGAACAACAGTGTGCCTATCTAACCCACAGTGTAATTAGTCCAGTTGGCACCCATATTGAACCAGCCCTGTCATGCTTCAACAACTGTAGGGCAAGTGGGAGAAGGCATGATAAGGCAAATGACATGAACTCATTGGTAGTAAGTAGGAGTCCAACGACAGTTTTTGGTGAGCTGTTTGTTGGAGTGTTTGTTTCACCCGTGGCTAGATGTGGCCACTGACTGTTGGAGACTTCCGCAGGTGGACAATCTGTCGGAAGAGGAAGTTCAGGACCCATGGGCGGAATCCATGTTCGGTTTGATCGCGAAATCGACTGAAAGAAGATGGATTGGCCTACCACGTGACTGACTGGTTGGGCAATCCCTGAATTGTTGAAAGAGATTCTCAGTCACATACCTGTGCCTTCCAACAATGATGTTTTTGTTGGGCCTTTTGGCGGGTTTTCGAGATGAAGAAGCAGACATGTTGTGTTGCTTCGTTGAACTAGTTGGAGGATCCAGCGATATGATCGACATGGGACCCCATGAGGGCCCTGTGACAAGAGAAGACAATGAGAAAGCCATCCCGGTATGCCGCATGTATACGGAGACCTCCCAGGCGTTCCGGCCCCCCGCAAAAAAATGGAGAACGTCACATTGATGCGTCCCATTCACGGCAACCTTTAGTAAAAGGCGAAAGATTGGTGCGCTATGAAGTGAACGCTGTGATGACTACATTGGCTTTCCTTGGCTTTCATGCCACAGAGATTCTACACACCCCTCCATCATAGCCATTCCGTGAACACTTTTCTGAAGGACTCTGCTCTTGGGAAGGTTTGGGAGCGGACTCGGTCGTTGGGTCGGACAGGACGCCATGCAGCTCAAGCGGCTCCTCTACCGAGGCGCTGCAGGGATGCTTGCTGAACCCGGACGCTGTGGAGCGTCTGTGGTGGGGAAGGGGGACTTCGACCGGGTCTGTGGTGGTTGGGGCATCCGGTGGAAGAGTCACATCGGCCGTTGAGGGGGGAGGGAAAGAACACCCACCCATGAAGTGGCATGAAGATGTAAAATGACCCATCAGGAAAGGATCCAGAAGTCCTGAAATTAAGTGTACACTTCCTGAAAGAATCATGGTCCAGCATGGATGGGAGTCGGTTTTGGATGACCATGAAATCCGAAGACCAAACCAGGTGGTGGTTTTTCACGTCCACGTCCACGAGTCTTTCATTAATAGTGCAATTCCATCACTCATCTAAATGGTGAAACGACTTGGAAGTTGTAGACTGACAAACACCGCTTTTTCCCTTCAAACAGCCGGATGGATGGAAGAAAGGTGACTCCTCCCCCACCGACCTTCCTTTCTTCACCATGGAGGAACCGGAGAAACGGCCCGGTTGTGACCTATAGCCTATATAGTGGTTTCAGATTTCAGAGCACACTGGTGCACCAAACGGGGGAATACCGAATACCAAGCAAAAAAGACCACTAATTCCAATTAAATCCATATCAATAAAATTAATATATATAAATATGTTCCTTTTGATCGCCCGGCCCCAACAGGTGTGGTAAATGGACCACCTCTCATTTAAAAGACATCTGAAACAGCACCCGAGACCTGCCAGGTCATCACCTGCGACTGAAAAACGTCTGCAAAGACCACCATTTTGGAGACCTGTAGAGTCGGGTCCTGGTTCAAATTGTACCATCTACTCTCAATCCCCCAGAGGCGACCCTGGACCTGAACCAACTGCGACATGTTGGTTCGGTCCCGTTCACCCTGGCGAACTGAGGGTCCGAACTCTGAGCCTCTCAATCCACTGAGCCTCTCACCGGACCCTTCACCGTCCGATTCCCTTCCATCCGGTCACCGGAGAAAGACCTTGCCCGGGATCCGTTGGTAGGTAGCGAAGCGACCCGGTTCCGAAAGAAAACGGACCCGACGTTTTGGCACCTACATACCATGTGTCGAACACTTGTCCGTACCTCGGGTAATGTGAATCCCGGTTGATGAGCCCCAGAGTCTCCTTGTTTGGAACGGGGGGGTGACTCTGCCGACATTGACGGTCTGATCAATCAATCACCCCTCGCTTTCGTGCCCAAGGGCGATCTGCCAGGTTCAGCGGTCCGTAGCACTGCACCCAATGCTCTTAACGTTGAGAGCTTGGGGGGCCCAGCGGGCAGGCAGACGGGCCCAGCGCGGTGGTCCCTCTTCGAGTCTACGGAACCCTAAGTCTCAAGGGTTTTCGGGTCTCCCGTCTCCAGCGGGACACTCCGTTCATGGCTTCGAAAACATGTCCTGCTAAATGAAACATAATGAAACATGTAATATGAGTATGACAGGTCACAGTAAAACGAATGATTCCCCTATGGATCCAACTACCCTCTGAGAAGGTGCTTGGGGTGGGTGCCAGGAGGGTCCAAGTACCTTTTGAGGAGGTACTTGGATCCCTAGGGTTCAGATCCTTTTTGGCACGGGTCCCAGGTCACTGAGATTCGGAGCTACATCGAGATTTGGGGAGGAAATTAGGACAGAGTTCTTCTTCAGACGACCAGGTTCCCAGAAATCACGACGAGCTATGTCCGTTGAAAGAACATCTTCCAGAGCGCCAGGGCATCGTGTGCCAGCGAATTTAAGACTAACATCTATATAGCACACTTGCTGCAAGTATACGATCATATCCAATCTGTTGTGGGTTTGACCTTTGATCCACACAAGGTGCACAGAAGCCTGGACGACTCCGGAAATTGCTGAAAGGGCAAACCATATATGTGTCACGCGCAGCGCGTAATTTCATTCACTACGTCGCACGTGTTGCAAGGTGTGTTTGCACGTGTTGGTCCCTGTTAAAATAGAAAAAACAGAGGATGTGTTTGTGTGTTTGTTCCCCGACACAATTTGAAGGTGATGTTGTTGGGTCTAGCATGGTCGTTCGCTATGTCCCGGTTTTTCTGACTTTGCCCTGTCAGAGGTTTCCCACAAACTTGCGGAGAACCTTTGAGTCAAGTTGTTCTTGAGGGAATTGGGGAAAGCCGGATACCACACTAAACAAGAACACATTGGACAGTTCTTCTTGTGCGAACGAAGTCTCGACTTGGGAGGGATGGACTCCTTTATGCCTCCTAAGCCTCCACCCAGATCCAGTCGTACCTTCTCAGAAGGTGATTGGAGACAAGTTTCTTCTGAGAAGGCACGACTGGATCCATAAGCGCCTGAACAACCACCCCATCGGTGCAGGGTATCTGCAGTGTCCCTGCAGAATTCGTTGGACCCGCGGGGGACCTCTCTCAGGTTCGCGATCACACTTGATCTTCACCATCAAGGCCGCCCCGTTGGAGCGCCCGTTTGGGAGACGAAAGAGTCTAGACCCTTAGCATGTCGATTGACCAGATGCTCAAAGTAGATAGAATATTGAGTGGCTTCTCAGACATATTATATACCAGCACCCTCCTGTTCATTTGATTCCTCCTTTGACAAACCATACAAGCGACATTCAACGCACAGGGGTCGGACCTAGCTTGCGGTTGGGGTTGGTGATGAACATCTGATCCCAGGAAGCCACGAGTCGTACGGAACCAGGGGCCGGGTTCCGTTCGGCCAAACTGGTGAACGGTCGTCGTCGTCGTTGCCTGGAAGCACTGGGAAGGCCCAGCCTCTAGTCGTGGATCCACAGGGTGTGGTGTTATATAGGTACAAAACAACACACAAACGAATAAAAACAGAACAGAGTTTTGGGATATTTTTTCTTTTTCTACTCAAAGATTCGTTTGCTCTGGTTGGGTCGTCGTTGCCTGGAAGCCACTACAACGACACGTTCGTGACCTCCGTGGGAACTACCCGGAACTGGATCCGCTGAGCTTAAGTTTCACTCGTCAAGTCTTCGCCAGGTTGTCATCCCCGCAGTGCATTGCAGTGGTTGGTCCAGTAGAACACAGTGCATTGATTGGGGCGAACATCAACACCTATAAATCGGACATGATCTCCTAGGTGGTTCCGAGATGCTTGTGTTCAGCCTTTACTTGGGATGATTGAACCTACCGACGAGTATTTTTCGTATTCCTTCCCCAAACAGCTTTGCTGTGAGGGGTTCGCAATTCTTGCATAGAAACGATGCTGGGCCAAGATGATTCCCGCCTTTGTCTCCCCTTGTCTCCCATGGCATGTCTGAATGCTTGGCTGAGATGATTTTGCTTTTTTTGTCTCCCCTCGTCTCCCATGGCATGTCTGGATGCTGGGCTGAGATGATTTTGCTTTTTTTGTCTCCCCTTGTCTCCCATGGCATGTCTGGATGCTGGGCTGAGATGATTTTGCTTTGTCTCCCTTGGTCTCCCCTTGTCTCCCATGGCATGTCTGGATGCTTGGCTGAGATGATTTTGCTTTTTTTGTCTCCCTTCGTCTCCCTTTGTCTCCCATGGCATGTCTGGATGCTGGCTGGGCTGAGGTCACTTTGCTTTGTCTCTCCTTGTCTCCCCTTGTCTCCCATGGCATGCTTTGACTCCCTTCATCTCCCCTTGTCTCCCATGGCGTGTCTGGATGCTGGGCTGAGATGATTTTGCTTTGTCTCCCTTCGTCTCCCCTTGTCTCCCATGGCATGTCTGGATGCTGGGCTGAGATGATTTTGTTGTTTTTGTCTCCCCTTGTCTCCCATGGCATGTCTGGATGCTGGCTGGGCTGAGGTCACTTTGCTTTGTCTCTCCTTGTCTCCCCTTGTCTCCCATGGCATGCTTTGACTCCCTTCATCTCTCCTTGTCTCCCATGGCGTGTCTGGATGCTGGGCTGAGATGATTTTGCTTTGTCTCCATTTGTCCCCCGTGTCTGTCCTACTGTTAGGCTTCGAGGGGCTTCTGCGAACTGCAGAGATGCTCTCTTTAACTACCAGTGACATGCTGTTTCGAGATGGTGTTGGCATCTTGCGTCTGCCTGACACAAAGACTAGTAAAAGCAAGAGCATGGAAGAAGTGGTCATCATTCGGCACCCATGGATCTTGACGATCGCGCAGGTTGTTCAAGTAATGTATGACCGACACACACTGCACGTGTACAACCACACCGATCTCATGGGGAACGGTTATCACTTCGACGCGCTGATACGTGGCCCGCTGTGGAAGCAAGACGCAGACATGGGGCACGTACAAAATGTCGTGGTTGCTCTACAGAAGGCTGCGCCAGAGACGTCGGCGCCGAACGTGCAGCGGCCACCAAGAAATGCGGCTACAACAGCAGCTGCATTTGATGCCAATTTGGCAGGAAAGCAAACAACGTTTCCGGACGAAGTTCCGTGCTTACTGCGCATGTTTTGGTTTGCACCAATGTAAGTTCCGACCTTATTCAATTCGCCCGTGCAGGCGCCACACACTTGCTCCAACAGACCTTGTCTTATGACCAGACTATTCATACTGGGCGCTGGGCCTCGATTCGGGCCGCGCGTCTACAAGATGGTCTGGCTCATTTGCCGTTGCTGGCGCTGAATGAGCGGTCAAAATACCAAAGTGGACTCCTTTTTCTCCCTCATCCGCCTGATGCGACAAGATAGAAGTCCGTGGAATAAGACTTGTGTGACTTTGAAGGTTGGTTCTTGTTTTGAGTCAAAGATAGCTCCTGCCGGGGAGCAAGATGTGTTCTTGATTGATCCTCTGCCGGGAGGACAAACAAGTTTGATGAATAAAGTTGAATGAGGAAAATTAAAGTGGATCTCAACGATTCCACGTCTTCTTTGGCCCAGACACAGAGTGCCTGAAATGAGCGCCATGGGTGCACAGCAGCAAATGAACAGATTGAGACACAAATATACTACATCTGGAGGTAGGTGCTTGGGGACGACATCATCCCAATCAACATCAATTTGTCCATTGCTTTAGAAAGCTCTAGACTGTTCCAAGTGGGCCGTGGGAACATCGGAACATCGCTGTGGCAAGCCAGGTGACCACCATTGATGGCCCAGAGCAACTCACTGGGAAGCTGGTGCTGGCGTGCATCCCCAGCTGGTTCCGGGAATCGCTTGATGGGCGGGGCTCTTTGCGACGCCTTTCCGAGATCGCTTTTGCGGATGTTGGTGGACATAGATTCGATTGGCGTGAAACCCTTGAGATTTCTCAAATGCTTGGTAATCATGTTTGTAGCCTAGTCCTAGACACTCCATGGGACTGGAAGACCCTTTTTCGACCACCCCAATGTAACTAAATGCAGCATACATTTATACTCGTGTAGTTGCAAAACAGGACAGGCAAAGGGGGATCCTTGCATCCATATGGATGAATACAATGAATATCACGACCTCTTGAAATCTCACACCATAGATCACCATAGCTTGAAAACCACTTGCAGCGCGAACTTGGCAACGGTCCCACCTCCTGCCATGATGGTGTTTTGTTTGTTTTGTTGTTGTTGGGCCCACTGTTCCTCTTGTCGGGCGGTCGGGCGGTCTTACTTTGGTCGTTTGATGAAGAACATAATTCCTTGGAAATGAATTCTCTTCTGCATCCAGACCATCCCTTCTGAAGGGACCAAACATCCTCTTTGAGTTCATGACCAACCAATCCCCTTGTGTACCTTTCCAGAGCCTTCCAATCTCTTTGAACAAACCCCAACGGATCCACACAGTTCCCACGATGTCACGTTCCAGGCAACAAAGACCATAGACTCATAGACTGACCGGAACGGGCCCCTGCGAACTGGGATCTGAACTGGTTTTGACTTGGGATTGACCTAGCTGTTGGGGGAGGAACGTTCTCAAGGCAATGCCGGAAGTGGGGAATGTTGTCGATTGGCCAAAAGCATCGCCATAAGTTGTGAGGTGTTACAGTTGGCCCCAAGGTGTTTGAAGGCGACGCCTGAAACACGGTCCAAATCGCTTGAGAACTAATTGTAGCCTGTTCCTTTGTCATTTTTGGGCTCTATAGTGTACATCAACATTTTCTTGTGGACCGAGAGCCCAGGCAACATGATCTTTTAATTCCAAGGTGAAGGTTGCACAGCTGGTGTAGGTATTTGTGTATAATACAACATATTATTACTATATACAGTCATGGAGTAGTATTGGTTCAGTGTTCTGACTGCCTAGAACACTGCATTACTCACCCGTGTCGTTCTCCTCCCCCTTTCGACGTCCACCCAAGTCACGCTCTCAGCCGCGCTCGCTCAGTGCGACCTGGGCGGCTCTGAGCGGCTCAAGAAGAGTGAGGCACCGGCGGGCCGGTCGTCTCGGGCCGCGAATGTCGTCTCGGTCGTCTCGAAGAGGCCGGTAGCGCTGGCCGTAAGGCACCCAGCGCCCAGGCTGAGAGGCATTTGTTTTTTGGGGCTTTATGAGTGGCATGCTTTCAGAAGACACTGTGTTATTTGCGTGGTTTTCTGGTGTGTTTCGAAGATTGTAGCTGTAAACACCAATATATGGTCTACATTCACCACCAGAAGACACCAAATGCAGGCCATATGCATACACTGTGTGTTTGGGTAGTGGAATAGCACAGTTTTTCAGAGACAAACACTTGCATCTTCGACGGGACGGGCGAAGAAAAATCCCTGGGTTCATCGTGTCCACTTCTCTCGCATCGCTCCAAACCCAGAAACTCCATGTCTGTCATAGGACTGCCGCCCCGACCCCGAAAATGGCCCACCCCTGGCCTGATCGGCTTCATCTCCCAGTCCCAGACGGGTCGTGTCTTGGGAAAACTGCACGCTCTCCTGCTCCCAGGCGACCGGGGAGCAGCTGAAGGAGGCCATTGAGATCAACCGCTCCTTAACGGCCTTGGGCGACGTCATCGAGGTGGGCGACGTGACGGACCGCCATGCGGATCAGTTGACCCCTGATGGCCCCCAATTGGTCGGCAGTCCTATGGCAGTCCAATCGGTGGTGTGTTGGGATAGGTGGACACCGTGTGGCACCACGTGGTTCACGCGTTTCCCCGGACGGGACGGCGAACCGAAGCCAAAATCACCGGAACCTGCTGCCGCTGCCGTTCTTCAATGGTTGTTCTTTGCCGCCGCTGCGGAATGGGAACCATTCCTCACGGTGCAGGCGGTGGCCGAGAGGAAGAGACAGGTGCCCTACCGGAACCACAAGCTCACACAGCTCTTACAGGAACTTCGTGTCTTCGCGATGCGCCGTTTTCGCGTCATGCGAGGGGGGGGGAGACACCGCGTTGGTCGCAGCAGCTGGTCGGTTGATGGGTTTCAAGGCAGACACTCCTGGCCGAATGGTGTATCGATGCCGCGAGTTCCTTTTTGTCCCATTACAGCGGAGTTGTCGCTGGAGGATTCACCACAGACCGCCAAGACCAATGAAAACTGGGATTTTGTTCTACCAAAAACTGATCATTCAGATAGTGAACACCAGATTCTTGATCATGTAGACTCTTTTCATTCATAAGCCCCATATGAAGAGGACTTTGCGCATCCAAATGGGATGGTTGATGGTCCTGTTGCCGAGTCTACATTAGCTTGGGGACACTGATATACAGTACCCTGGCTTGTGGCCCATTTAGCTTGGAGCAGCTAGTGATCCACTAGCAGGCTCGGTGTTCTTTCCTCCTACATGGTGGGCCTCGCTGGTTCGCTGTGTTTCGTGTTGGACGGCGGACGGTTGGTGTTTTGAGAGAAGCGAATTGATGCAGTACTTTGCTTCAGAATGCATCAGACATGCAGTACTTGACGATTTTGATGCGTACACGTTTTCCAAGATCTGAGACACTGATACTATACTCTCAGTCCATCTTAGTCCCCATTCATCCCAAGGCTAAAGGAGTGCGTCAGACATTCTCCTTCTTCCCGGTGTGTCATTTGTTCACCCACGTGCCACACCTTTCGCCGTCGTGAAGTAGATAGCTCGCCAGGGATGTATGTATATAGATATAAGACATACGCTCCGACTAACTAACATGGAAGTGCAAAAACCTCTGTTTGTAAAGGAAAGTAGTCTCCCAAGGCACCATTGTCCACTTCCATGTGATGTGTTCGTCAGAGTGTAGGTATCCTTTAGATCATTCGGTGTTTGTCATTATTGCCTGTAGAGCCGTCAGTGCACAAAGCAAAATCCTCACCTTCCGCTTCTTGCGCTTTGCTCTTGGAATCATCCTGGTTTAGTACTTGTAAAGGAACATGGATGGATCCGACATCGGTGCCATTTGCATCCACTGTCCGCGTAAGAATTCAGAATGATGACTGTACTTAGGGCGGCGACAGCCACATCACTTTAAACAACGGTGATGGTGGGCCTTTCTTCGGAACAGAAGTGTTGTCTTTCTTCGCGCACTGCGGCTCTGCGGCTCAAGAGCTGTGGTGTGCCGGAGAGACATGACTCATGAAGCTGCCACTAGACTGAAGACAGGTACTCACCTCTGGAGGACAATGGTCGTCTTGAGGAAAAGGACAACAATTGCTTGGTGTTTCAGGTGGCGTCGGAATACTGTTACGTAAAATTCGTAGAATGTTTGAGATATGGCTAATTAGGTTGCCTGGTTCATTGGCAGAAGCACACAACTGAGTGAGTTCCTGTGACTTTCCTGTGACACATTGATCATACCCACCCAGTGGATGGTCTTCAACCTTGTTTGGACGCCGGCAAGAACCCCACTCCAATCCAACAGCTGAGCTGGAACCGATCGATCCAAAGGCCCCCCAAAGGCCCCCAGCGGTCGAGTCAGCAGATCGCTCTCCACCCATGAAGTCGTCGCGGAAGAAGCGGACCTTCCAGATTGGGGGAGGCTCAAAAATCAGATCACTCTCATCCAATGGGCAGTCTTTATCCCAAAGAAAGGCTGAAGGAATGAAAGAACACATGAAAGACAACAGGTTTACGCTGGTTGTCTCCTTTACACTTGGTCTTTTGCGTGGCATCCAGCTCGAGCTTTCGCCCAGCATCCACCCAGAAAGAACCGCGGAAAGCAGAACTGATTTGGACCTACCCAGATGCGTGAAAACAGCCCGACAGGTCCCAGTACAGGTCCTCCGGTATTGGTGAGAAACCCCAGACCCCTCCGAATTCGGGTCCGACCCCTCGGGTCGCATCTGGGTGGATCGATCGCTCAGTGCGCGAACCCCCACGCCGAACCCGCACCGTTCAGTGCCCAAGCCGCAGCGAAAAACATGAGAAACTCCATGCGCAGAACACGCCCACCGTTCACTTTGTCTCTCCAACTCCAATCCCCTCGTACCGACGCCCAAAAGCACCGACGAACCGTGCGGCAGCACATCGCGCGCGCCGTCTGCACGGACGGACTCCAACCGCACGCGCCCGGGCGCGGCACCGCTGCCGGTCCGAGGAAGCGTTTCTTGCTCCGCTACGATCCTCCAGGAGTGGGATTGGAGGCCTGAGGGCCCGGGGGCGAAAGAGGTTGGAGCTGCAAAATGAAATCAGTGGACTTGGCACTGGTATAGGAGGGGTCTTGATTTTGCAACAGATATACCATGATATACCAATATACATCATTACCATTTTGTGTGATTGGGGTGTGTGGGTAGTCTGCTTGGGCCTATGGGCAATTTCAGTGGGGTGTAGCCTAATGCATAATGATTCATGTATGCAAATATGCCCTACATGTGGTGGCTTTTATTGCTAGACTGTGAGACAATGTTATATTCCTTGTGTCAGTCGCTTGGACTAGGAAGTCGTGTTCCAATCCAATTATTTGTTCTTTAGGTATGGGAACGATTCAACGTAAGGAGCAAGCACCTGATTGGGAGTACAGCAAACACATGTTTCCATGAGCGCAGTTGTTTGAATGGTTTGTTCTTGGGCCAGACAGGATTGGTTGTCCCTCTAAGCCCTAATCAGTGTTTTACATTCAGGCATTATTCAACTATTTTTGACTCACATGACATGCTGGGACACCCCAGATATCATAGGGTGGAGTTTTGCTTAACACCTAATATTATTCTATAATTGCCCAAAAAGGAGCGAGTGAGGGTCGCCAGGGTCTCCAGTTCTTCCCCCATTTTCACAGGGAGCTGGAACTCGGAGGGAGCGACCACGGGAGTAGGGTGGGGTCAGAAATGGAGCTGGAAGTGCACCGGAAGGCCAGATCCAAATGAGGTCCAACTTAAGTTATAGAAATACCCTAGGGCTCTAAGTACCTCCTCAGAAGGTATCTGGACCCTCTGAACCCACCCCAAACACCTTCAATAGGAAACATCATAGAATAGATTGCCATGTCCATGGTCAACCTAACTAGGAGCAAAGGGCATCGCTACTAGGGGCTCCTGGCCGTACTACTAGGAGCAAGCACAAGAAGCTACCCCGTCCACCGCACATACCAATGTTTTCTTTAAGCGGCTTTAACCCACCTGCCGGACCTGTCTCCCTTGTCTTCCACCCGCCCAGTGGGCCGTGGGCGTCCCCGACCCACCGGTGAGAGCACCCCCTTCACCGCAGGTGGAAGATGACGAGCACCAGCTTTCGGTGCAGCACAAGAACCTGCCCGCCAAGTCGGAGGTCTCCTCCGCCAAGGCCGGGCTGCTTGGTCAAGCTGGCGTCAAGCGGCGTCACTCCACCCAGGGTCCAAAGGATCTCAACTTGAGCAGAAAGACCGGTGATTTCGAACACCCTGATGGCAGCCCATGTCTTAGACAGCACTGGCACTGGCAGCCCTAGATGTCTTAGACAGATGATATCGAATATGCTTCACCACCCAGCCGATTCGTGGTTGCCTGGGATTCGGTCCGGATTCCGGGTCGCAGCGGGTGCTAGTGCTCGCCATGGAAACGAACGGTGTTTGTCGCGATTTCTCCTTGCGGATTTGGTTAATTAAGCAATCGTTGCGGTGTTTGTTCGTGATGAAGCAATCTCAGACACTCCCAAATGGGACTGGCAGATGCTGTTTCATCGCCATTTTCCTCTTTAAAATCATGGACCCTGTGCCCCACTCTGTGCGCCATCGTTTTTAAGACCATCATTTGGGGTACACCTCAAACATGGCAAGCCGGACTGCCAGACACTCTATAGAATGGGGCACCAACCTCTGGAAGGCGTGCAAAAAAGAACCCCATATTTTTTGGCTTGAGGATTGGAGTCTAAGCCCTGTGGCTGCCAAGTGCCAGCCGCAAGAACATTTGGGGAACATTCACCAGAGGGTTGTGGACACCCTTAGGGTTGGACCCTCATTTTATAGAGGAGAGATCGTATGAAGCTTGCTCATCCAAATTATGTGGACTAATTTCTGATAGTTGGACATTGATTTTATAGAGACGATGCACTCTAGCATAGCTCAATCCAGATTCTATAGCAGATTGCCGTGTTGCCAAATTGCTGGCCCTGCCACCCAATCGCAGTCCCTACTTCTATATTGCTTGTCGTGATTGTCCCGATGAGAAAACTCATTGCATGCTCTTGATGGTCCGCTTTCCAAGTGTGTGGTGTCCAGGAAACCAATTCGATCAAAGGCATCCAAATGCACACTTTGATTGGACACAACTTCCCAAGAGCTTCAGGTCTCCCTGCACAGATTGTGCGTATGAGGAGGGTTCAAGAGTTCCTCTTGACTTTTGGTTGGTGCTACTCATGCACACTCCACCGGAGACCATGCATCGAGAGAGAGAGAGAGAGAAAGGTTTGAGACCGTTCATGGTTGGCCTTGGGACAAGTGCCAGGGTACCAGGTAATACCAAAAGGACCATGTCACTGTCGAAAGAAAGACCATGGCCTGGTGGACGCCCATGGTCTGGTTTCGGTTTTAGAGACCATTCCGGAAGGACATCAACGGCCTGGTGGACGCCTTGATCGATGAGGAGTCCACGCTGCTCACGCGGCGGCGACACCGAGAGGGCAACTTGGTGGACTGTTGGTGGACTTGTTGGATGGGATGTAATTGCGGCATTTAATGTGTTTTTACATGTCAGAAACAACTTTGATAGGATTTGATTTCCCGGATCATCCCGGATCCAAGCATGTCCGGGTGAAGGTGGATGAAGGTGGTTACTGCCAAGGGTTTTTTGCACCTAATCCGTTTAACATGGTGATTGGATAAGCTTCAGGTGCTTCTGTTTGGGTTTGTAGTTTGGGGTCCACATGGTTTGGAATTCCTTTCAATTCCTCCATTCCGTTCCAATCACGGAACATCCTCCTTACATTATGTATACTTCTATGAG